CCAAGATCAAGAGTTGCATACTCTTCTGACTGAGCCAGCCAGATGCCCCTCTGTTTACTTTTAACTTATCTATCTTTATATTTCAAGTGTGTTTCTCACAAGCAGCATATATTTCGGTAATGGTTTTTGAAAAAGTTAAATCCTTTTTGACAATCTCCGCCTTTTAGAACATTTACATGCCATGAAATTATTGTTTAGGCCATTTACATTTAATGTAATTACAGATATGGTTGGGCTTATGTCTATCATCTTACACTTGTTTTCTATTTGTCCCAATTATTCTTTGTTCCTTTTCTTTTTATTACCTTGTCTTCTTTTTGGTTAAATGTTTTTAGTATTCCACTTTATCTCCATATTGAATTATTAGTTATACCATTTTTAAGAAGAATTGCTCTAGGGTTTACAATATGTACCTTTAACTTCACAGTCTATCTTCAAATAATATTATACTAGTTTACATGTAATATAAGAACCCTGTGCACTTTCATTTCCTTCCTCCCATCCTTTTTTGTTCTTGTTATCAAATATTGACTTCTATATATATTATTAGTCTCACAATACATGGCTGTTCTTGTTTTAAACAGAAAATCATTTTTAACAATACACAAATATAGGTAGAAAGTCTTTTGTGGTTATTCACATGTGCATAACTGCCATGTGCAGAACTCTTTATGCCTTTGTGTAGGTCCTAGCTTCCATCTGGTATCATTTTCCTTCAGCCTTCCTTTAACGTTTCTTGTTGTGGAGCTCAGCTGGCAATGAATTCTCTTACCTTGTGTTTGTCTTCAAATAGTCTTTATTTCATATTCATTTTTGAAGGATATTTTCACTGGGTGTAGAATTCTAGGTTGACAGTTTTTTTCTTTCAGCCTATTAAAGATGTCGTTCCATTGTCTTCTGGCTTGCATTGTTTGTGACGAGAAATCAGCGATCATTCTTATCTTTGTTCCCCTGTAAGTAATGTGTCTTTTTTTCCTGGTTGCTTTTAAGATTTTCTCTTTATCATGGTTTTTCATCAATTTGATTATAATGAGTTTTAGTGTGATTTTCTTTGCTTTTATTTTGCCTAAGATTCATTGAGCTTCTTGGATCTGTGGGCTTATAGTTTTTAATCAAATTTGAAAAATTTGGTCATTGTTTTTTCAAGTATCTCCCTCCTCCCCCTTTTGCTCCTTTTGGACTTTTAACCAGGTGTGCTTTATACTGCCTAATATTTTCCCACAGCTCACTGAAGCTCTGTTTGTTTTTCTTCCAGTACTTCAGTTTTGGTAGTTTCTGCTGTTATGTCTTCTAATTCACTGATCTTTCCCTATGCATTGTCTAATCTGCCATTAAGCCCATTCAGTGAATTTTCCGTGTTCTATATTATATTTTTAATTTTAGAAATTCCATTTGGTTCTTTTATTATATCTTTCATCTCTGTTCTCATTGTGTAATGTTTTCTTTGAATATGTTTATAATAGCTGTTTTTGAGTCCTTGTTTGCTAATCACCTCATCTCTATAATTTCTGGATTTATTTCTATTGGTCAGTTTTCTTTTTTTCCCTGATTATGGGTAACATTTTCCTCCTTTTTCAAATATCAAATAATTTTTTACCAGATGCTGGACTTCATGAGTATTACATTATTGAGTATCTGGATTTTGTTGTCTTCCATTATAGTGTTTCAGGGTTTGTTTTGGCCATCAAGTTACTGGTGGATCAGCTTGACCCTTTTAGGGCTTGATCTTATCCTTTGTTAGGGTGAGCCTGGAATAGCCTTTTCCCTAATGTTAGTTTAGCCCAACTGCTAAGGTATGACTTCCTAGAGTCTCTGTTGAATGTCCCAGGTTTTCACTGAGTTCCCTTCACTCTGGTTGGTTGGAACTTGAATATCTCTCAGACCTGTATGAAATATTGGAATTATTCTGCTTACAGATCCTCCATAGTTGTTCTCTATGCAGGCTATGGAATTTTGTCTTACACATGTTCTGCTTATTATAAAGCCAAAGACCTAAAAGGATTCTTACTCAGATTTCTGGAGCTCTTTCTTTGCCTAACTCCCTCTTCTTTGCTATAGTACCCAGCAAACATAAGCCACCTTGCCTCTTTAAACTCCAGTTTTTGTCCCCTCAATTCAATGAAACCACCCTACTGTGCTTATCTTTCTCCTTCCACATCCAAGGTCTGGAAATTGCTTCCAGGAAGAAAGCCAGGGTGATGATAGGACTGACTGTATTGTTTCTCTTCTCTCAAGGATCATTGTCCTACAGTATGTAGTCCAATTTCTGAAAACAGTTGTTTTGTATATATTTTCCAGTTTTCTAGTTGTTTATGATGGGAGGGCAAGTCTAATACCAGTTACCTTGTTGTAGTTGGAAGCAGATTTATTGTCTGCCATGTTTTTACATTATATATTTTTTTGTTTTTATTTTTAAATGAAGGGAGCTCTATCATGACTATATTTGCCATATGGTGAGATATGTAGATTGGTCCTATATCAGAATCAATTGTAGTGATTTTCCCAATTACAAATACCTGTTCTCTACCCTTAAAGATTTTGATTTAGCAGATTTAACATGAGTTTCAGGTATCATATTTTGACAAGTGATTTTTTGATACACAAGAAAAGCTAAGAACCCCTCTTCTGGTAAGTTTAAATCTAGTGTGACTTTGGTGAACTTAATGACGTATCCTACAATCTATACTTAATTCAGTGACACTCTGTAAAAATGAAGTAAAATATTAGAGGACTAGGACCTCCTGGATATCTCCATCATCTACCTATAAAGCATTAATTTCTGGCAAAGCAGGAGCCTTTAGAGCCCTGATCAAGTGGTATGGCTGTTGTACATTCTTATTTCCTTGTGCCTTTGCCATAGCAGTTGTTGTATATCTTGAATATTACTTCTATCTATAAGTGTCAAGACTTCTTAATATTTATAAAGTGATCTGCAAATATTCTCATAATACAGGGCTTCAGTAATGGTTAGCAGATTTTATCTTGTGTGCCAACTCTGTTTTATTAGTGGTAACTTTCTGGAGTTCTGTGTTAAGAAGGATTCTAAGGTCAGTTCTGGACTCAGCAGGAAGGAATGCTCTTATGGATTAGTGATATCTGTCATGAGTTTGGGATTGGAGGAATGAGACACATGTCCTATGTATTTGCAACTCCTGGTTAAAGGCAGTCTTTTTTTCTAGGTTTCTCTAATTACACAAGAAAACTTGTTGCTACTCTCTATATTCATCTTGACTTTTCCACATATAAGAAACATTTTATAGTTATGGAATGCCTGTATTCAAATTATTTCTTCATTTATCCATTCCTTACTGATTTCTCTAAAAATATAATCTCTGAAAGTATAATCAATATGATACTGTGTTTTTAGAGTTGTGGTTTTTGGTCTGTACTTCTCATCTTTTATTTTATTATTTTAAAAAAATATTTTATTTATTTATTTGACAGAGAGAGAGAGAATGCAAGAGAGGGGACACAAGCAGGGGGAGTGGGAGAGGGAGAAGCAGGCTTCCTGCTGAGCAGGGAGCCCAATGTGGGGCTCGATCCCAGGACCCTGAGATCATGACCTGAGCCAAAGGCAGACGCTTAATGACTGAGCCACCCAGGTGCCCCTTCTCGTCTTCTTTTAAAGATTTTTTTTAAATTTATTTATTAGAGAGAGAATGAGAGATAGAGAGCATGAGAGGGAAGAGGGTCAGAGGGAGAAGCAGACTCCCTGCTGAGCAGGGAGCCCGATGTGGGACTCGATCTCGGGACTCCAGGATCATGACCTGAGCCGAAGGCAGTCGCTTAACCAACTGAGCCACCCAGGCGCCCTCTCGTCTTCTTTTAAAATAAATTGACGCATTGTGTATTTTTTAAAGTCAATGGCTCTATTGACCTTATTTTCCTAAATTTCAAATCAGACACATAATCTTATATGTGGTCTAACCATAGGCTAAAAGTTTTAAAGTTGGAACACCCCTGGACAGAAAACTTTATATGGTCTAGAATATTAATAATAAATGTTTTTGAATTATTATTGGACATATAACTAAGTAAGAATATCTTCTCATCTGCAAATTCTAGTATGTTAGGCCAACCATAGTCCTATAAGATTAGAATTTGGCAATTTAGAAAAATTTCCTACTTTCAAACATGTAATTTTATTGCACTTTTAAATGATGGAGTATGGTTAGTTAAGTGCTTTGGACTACCAAATCATCTAGATGAGGATAATTACTTGTGTGACTTTCATTCTGATCTATCCCAGATCCCTTGGTCTTATCCTCATTCTGTGTGCATACTGTGTTAAGGAGTGGGTATTAGCAAACTAGCAGAGGTTAGTCTGTGGGTCATAGTCTGTGATGTGAGAGAGAGATATATTTCATTTGGGCAAGAAATTCATCTTTCCAGTCTCCACATTTGATGAGAATGGGGTGGGACATGGAATAGTGGCAGTTGCCTTACCATTCATTTCAGTTATTATGAGTTTGAAATACTTCTTGGTTCCAGAAATCTAGGATGTTCAGCTTAGTATGTACTACAATGAAAAGAGCAGTGTTGAGAACCAAGAGATAGAGGTTCTTGTCTCGGCTTGTCATTTACTAACTCTGTGACCGTAGTGGGCTACTTAACCTTTGTAACTTTCACTTACTCGTATATGAAATGAGATTAATAATCTGCTGTACCTATTCTGCAGAGTTGTTGGCAGGATGAAGTGAAACCATAGATACATAAAAACCTTGGAGAACTTTCTAATAGTATATCATTGCAAGGTAATATTATGATACTGTGTATGCCACCTTATACTAGCTTGTCTCTGCCCGTGGGAAAATAGATGGGGTTGTGATATCTTTGTTCAATTTTTAAATTTGTCATAGATTTAAAAAAAGATTATCTTAGGAAGCCTGATGATGGTTCTAACTTAGGAAGAAGAAACCTAGTGTAATATCTGCTATACTTTTAGTAGGGCACTAATAACTTCAATGAGGAGTATTTATCAGCTATGCTTTGTTTTACAGCTTGGAATCCAATCCACTGCCAGCACACTGAATGCCACAACGCAATTAACAAGCCAGCTGTGAAGGTACTGTTTTATTAGGCCTGGTGCCATGTTGTATTGTCAGTGGTCAGATTGTCAGGAACAAATTGTTGAATGTAATGGAGAAGATTGCATCCTTCTCTAAAGCAGAGGCCTGTGCTCTGTAGTAAACTCAAGGACCTCCATGTTCAATCTGATTGTACTTTGGTGGATTGGTCCAGGACAGAGAAATGAATAGTGGTGACTGAAGGTTTGGCTGTGAGTTCATGGTCAAGTGCTGTGTAGCAATGAGAATTATCAGAATAATCCTGGTAAAACACATAGTCCTTACTTGGCTTCTATCTGAAGGAAATGTATTTTGCCTCTGTTTCACTCATTTCAAATTATGAGTGTTTAGTGTATGACTGTGAATTCAAGAGTCATATGACCAAAATAGATAAAATTGTTAAGTCTTGGCTCAGATCACAGATACCACTTAGTCAAGATGGCAGAGATAGTTGGGCAGGAAACACATGGAAAGGTATGTTAGAGGTAAGGGAACAGTGGTGTAGAGAGGCCAAGACACTTTCCTAAGTCAGAACCAGGTACCTTGACTCTCAGCCTTATTCTTTTTCTACCATCACAAATTTCCCTGTCTTGTTATAACCCTGGATCTTTAAATTTGAATGTTAAGAAAAATAATCACACCTTTTAACAAAATTACTTATGGTATATTTCTTGGATGCAATACTTGGCTGGAGAAACCTGTGTCTGGATTTGCAAAGATTAATTTTTTATACTGTGAAGAGTGAGAGTTACGCCAAGTCATTAGAGTTCACAGATACTTTTTAGAACTTAGTGTCCTGGGAGTTTGCCTCCCTTCTTCTATAGACAGGAAGACTGTAAAGATTACCAAATAACAGATACATAATAGTATCATTTTATAGAATCCGAGTAGAAGAGGTAAAATGAGATATAAGAAATATAAATATAAATGGAACCAAAAATCCCAAAATGTGTTTCATATACCAGAAATGTCGGAGGAGTGCCAATAATAACATTGTCATCCAGATGTATCTTACTAGCAGAGGACCTTTTTGTATTATTATGTTTCATCTCTGCTTTTGATAAAGGCAAACTGAATGAATTTATGTTGAGAAAGAGCGTGTGAGGGTAACCCACCAGGGGAGGCACAGTCTCACCCATTCAGCTCTGAGCACCCCTCCTCTGAACTTCCACAGACATTTGGGATTCAAAGGTACTTTTCTTTGGTGCGAGGACATTTTGAGCTATACACATGTTGCGTTCATATGTCATCCGTGGATTTCAGCTTAATTCTTCAGCTGGTGAGAATTGTGCGGCTCTCTTACTTTAGTTTCTTTCGCTGTCCTTTCCTCTTTCTGCTTATGTTACAATGCCCTCTTTTGGTTCACTCAGACATCAACTGAAAAGGGAGGTACTTTTTGTTTGATTTTTCCACTTATTTTTTTCTTTGATCTTATGTCAGGCTGCATTCTCAGGAGTCCTCTGACTTCATGATTAGTAATGATTTTTGGTTTTCCACTCCCAAAAGTCATCACAAATTAGATTTTCTCCCTCTCTTCTAGGCAGACAGCTTAGTCCACCCCTCTGACTGGGCTTTGCTCTGCTTATAGGCCGTTCCCTGTAGCCAGTCCTGCAGGACAGGCCAAACCATCCTACTTTCTGTCTCATTTTTAGGTGAGGTCAAATTCACAATAACGTAAGTTTAATCATTTTAAAGTGAATGATTCAGTGGCATTTAGTGTATTCACAATGCTGTGCAACCACCACCTCTATCTAGTTCCTAAACATTTTTATCAGCACCCCCACAAATTTTATTTTCTGAACTCCAGCGTTCCTAAAGAGTTTTCTTTTGTATTTTTACTCTGCTTTGCTGGAAAGGTAACATTCTTCTTAGTGCTTCCTGTGCTGGGCCTGTTTTTGCAGGACAACAGATCTGGCTCAGTATTGTTTTTTCATTGCAATATGAGCACTCCCCAAACCCAGGTAGGTATGACCATGTGACATATAGATCGAGGGCACCCAACATCCAGATACTTACAGAATAATGTTAAATGAAAAGGAAGTCATCCTTTATAAAAGTATGATGCCAATTTAATTTAAAAATCACATATATGTATATTTATATTCGTATTCATGCTCATCAGAATGTTATTAGTGGTGGCATTGAGATGGTGGGTTAATGAGTTTCTCCATTTTCCTAAGCCTCTACATTGGGCATAATTGTATTTATAAATGGAAAATAACTATTTTTTTAATGCAGCAGTCAGATATGAACATGTTAATATAGATGTAAACTGACGTGTTCAGAGTAAAGACAATTGACCCTAATGTCCACAAATGTTATGGGTCATGTGACCTAAATCATTTAACATGTCAGAGGTCACCAGCTAATCTATAATGATTATAGTTTGGACATCATAGAAGGTTTTCCCTTTGAGTGGAATGAAAAAAATATCTTTACCTGACAGGAGTATCAATAACTCATTAGAAATGAAAGTGAAGTAACTATATTGAAGAACAGGTCTATATTGGACACATGGGAAAGACTCAGGGAAAATGGATTTATCCTCACAAAAAGCGTACTGTCTCCATATTTGTGAACTTTACCACTAGGCAGTGATGATTTGCCAAATAGAAAAGTATTATCTATGTTTGTTGCAATACACTGCAAAAATGTACTTTTTTAGGCAAGAGCCAAGAGCTGCGACAGGATTCAAAGTGAAAAGGTGTTGGAACTTAGAGTTCATTATGTCACACTCTGCTTTTGGTTTTACTTGGTTCTGTTTGCAGATCAATTTATGAAATACTTTAGAGCTCAGATAATTATCTAACACAGGAGTCAGCAGACTATGGCCCACAGCCACATCTGGCCTGCTGACTGTTTTGTAAATAAAGTTTTATAGGAACACAGCCATGCTCATTTGTTTACGTATTGTCTATGGCTGCTTTCATGGTACAACAGCAGAGTTGAGTAGCTGTGACAGGGAACATATGGTCCACAAAGCCTGAACTATTTACTTTCTGGTCACTTACAGAAAGTTTGCTAACCCCTCATGTAACACACCAAAAAGTAGTTATTTATTGTATCAAAGGAAGCATGAAACTCTTCAGGGTTGTCCTCACTTCAGTAGCACATATACTAAAATTGGAATGATACAGAGAAGATCCGTAGGGCCCCTGCACAAGGTTGACACGTGAAACTCTTCAGGGTTTTAACTTTAAATGACAGGCTGTTTGGGTTATAAGTTTGGTTCATTTTTCCTCCCTAATCAGTAAAAACAACTAAAGAAAAGGCAGAGTGGAGTTCTAGAAGAATCTGTGTCCTAGGCATATTAACTGCACAATCAGCTGTAGTGTAGATTGATTATTTCTTGAAGGATGGAAACAGAATTCAGAATGACTTTGGTAACTCACTGAAATTTAACCTGATGCATTGTACAAGATTCAGCTAGTTGTGTTCACTTGATTTTAAACATCCAGATATTTGAAATATCCTGATGATCGACAGCAAAGCGAACACTTTTCATCTCTGTGCCTTGGCTAATGAAAACTCCGCCAGAAATAATCCAAAATGGAATAGGGCATGATAGGGTTAAATGAACCACAGGTCATATGTGGAAGGAAAAAATGCCTGAAAATGTGACATTGGGTGATTGATATAGAACTTAGATTCCAGAGTAAGAAAAGCAAATCACTTAGTGTTAGATTTCACGTGAAATTTTTTGAATTGAGATTTCTTTTAAGAAGGAAAATTCTCCACTGCCAGAATTTTGGTAACAGTTATGATTTTTCAATTTTAATATATTTTCCTCTTCCTAAAGAGAGATTGCTGTATTTACCACTTTCAAGCAGGAATGAATGTATGAGGCATATAGAGGCAATTCCAGCCGCGGTTGAACAAGATTTTTTCTCTTTGTGGAATGAGGGTGGATTTGTTGACACTATTTGTGACTTAATTGCAGATAACAGGAGAAATGAAAAACCACAGGAGGCACACTTAAGTCTAGTGTGGACTCATCAGCCAGTTCAGGAAAAGCAGCTATAGGTTAAGTGGGTTTTACTAAAAATATTTATTCCACTTTGCTTTTGAAAATTTGTCACAATCAAAACCTTTGCGTTCACGATACAGGGGATATGATAAACAGGACAGGAGAGTTCATTCTACCTTTTCATGTGTTTCAGATGTGTATAGATCCTTCCCTGTCAGTAGCTCTGGGGGATAAACCACCCCCATTGTATCTCTGTGAAGAATGCAGCCAGAGGATCGCAGGGTAGGTATATGAGTCCTCCAAGAAAGGGAAATAAGGCAACAATAGAAGATAAGAACAATCAGTTGTACTTAAATTGGTCACATTACTCACCTTTCCCACTAGCCCTTTTGGTTTTGAAAGGTTACTTTGTCAGATATTTGACATATAGCAAACTTTCATTTGGGAGATTTCAGCTTTGAGAATTTGCAATATTTCTCCCCATGCGATAAGAGAAAGCAGTTCCATGTAAAAAAACAGCTCCAATTTTCAAATGACCCTGTTAAAAAAGGCCACAGTGAAAAAATAAAAGAAAACCATGGCTTTCAAACATGACGTGTAATTCAAATGGGTTCTCTCTGCTTGTTAGTTTCCTAGAATCACACTCAGCATTGTACAAATCATGCTGTACTTTGGTTCACTTAATTAGCATCTGGAAAGTATCATTTAAAGATAACTGAATATGATGAAATGCCTATAATTTATAATTTAGCTGAAATGCATTAGACATTTAAAAAGTTTATTATGATAGTGCTCTTAATTACGTTTCCTTTCTATTGAAAGCCTTCTAGCAATAGCGTGCAGCTTATAAACATTCATGTGGAAGGGTAACATTGCAAAGAAGCTCAAAAATGAATTTTGTTTTTCTTTATAGGGACCACAGTGAATGGTTGATTGATGTTCTTCTGCCACAAGGTATGGTTTGCTTCAGAAAGGATGAATAATAAGTAATCATGACTAACTGTGTGGTTGGTTTGTCTCCTTTTGTACTGTATTTTACAAAGATAGTAACCAAAATATTATATTCTATGAATAGACATTGATATGAAGCATTATATCAATGTCTTGCTTATACCCACACATTTGGAAGGAAGAGGTATCATCTCAACCAAAATTAAGAGTAGATGTTGGAATTAGGATTCCATATGATGGAAACCTTGCTGAATTATGTCTTAAGAGATTTTCTGTATATATAACAGGCATTGCCAGTGGTGTTTGCTGTGCCAGGTCAGAAAGAGAATAGGGAACATGAGCGGGAAGAATACTGAATAATAGGTCTTTCTCCTACTACTATTTATAGCTCTGCGTTTTAGGGAAAATCATTTAATTTTTTGGAGACTTAGTCTCTCCAGTAAAATGGGGATAAAGTATATGGGACTCATCTTAATGAAAAGATGGGATGGTGTGATGTGCATAGTTTATTAGAGTTCTGAAAGCTATGGCAGATAAGTTGGCAGGTCCCAGACAGAGCATTCCTTTACCCATCTGGAAGCAGATATTCTAGCCGCTTAATTGGAGGCTGAAGTGACCAGGGGAAGTATTCAGGAAAGCAGAGGAAAGATGAAAAGTGAGGGAAGCTGGGGACATACTGAGCACAGTTCAGGCACACAGGAGGAAACTGATGTATGACTTCAGAGATAGATAAGAAAAGAAGACTTTCTACGAAAGGCCATATTTAAAAAGAAATGTAAAAACCTTATGTTAACTAAATTCTGTGAACATTAAAAAAATGTAAGGCAATTTTCTTGATGATAATTACACTATTCCTTTGTAGTCCTAACTTTTTTAAAAAAGATTTTATTTATTTATTTGAGAAAGAGAGAGAGAGAGCACATGAGCGGGGAGGAGGGGCAGAGGGAGAGGGAGAAGCAGACTCCCCGCTGAGCAGGGAGCCCGATGACTCAGGGCTGGATCCCAGGACCCCGAGATCATGACTTGAGCTGGAGGCAGACACTTAACCAACTGAGCCACCCAGGCCTCCCCAGTGGTCTAACTTGCAGTATTAGGTCATCTCAACCTTAAGAAATAAATTAGTGAGTGCTTTCCATCTCTAAAATGGATCAGTAATGTCAGCCTCTAGATCCTTCAAAGAGACATTCTGAAAAATTTCGTAAGAATATCTGTAAAAAGATCTGGGCTTGTATGGGTAAAGGTAAATTTTTCCCCCTTAAATTAGGCTACCCTGTTAATGAACTTCCAGTGTTATGAGGTGAAGCCCATAGTCAGGTTCTAAACTACATTTTATTTTATTTTTTAAAAGATTTTATTTATTTATGTGAGAAAGAGAGAATGAGAGAGAGAGAGAGCATGAGAGGGGGGAGGGTCAGAGGGAGAAGCAGACTCCCTGCTGAGCGGGGAGCCCGATGCCGGACTCGATCCTGGGACCCCAGGATCATGACCTGAGCCGAAGGCAGTCGCTTAACCAACTGAGCCACCCAGGCACCCCAAAACTACATTTTAAAATATCAGATATGTTGCTGAATTCTGGTCTCCTTTTCCAGATGATGTTCATCTCTGGAAGAAAACTTACAATAACTTTTAATTATTTCTCTAGAGATGTGACACTAACCTCAGGTTAAGACAAACTCTAAGATATCAAACTGTTAAATGACCATTAATTATACAAAACCAGAGTTTTAAATTTCTTTGATTTGGCATCCACTAATTCATAATTTCCAGACGCTTTGGGAGACCTTTACCTTTGACCTTTTTAATAAATTGTAACGTAGACTATACTGTAAGTAATGTGTTAGTTCATTTTTTGAACACTTACTATTTCAGGGGGAATGTTAACATATTCTTGGAAAAATTATTTTCAGGTACTCTCCAGCGTCAGTTTTCATGGAAATACTTGGTATGCCCACTAAAAAGAGTATGTATCCATTTGTTAAGGTCAATCCTGAAGTAGACCATAGTTTGACAGCCTTACTCCAACTGGCCAGTTGGGTTTGAAAATTGCTTTCTCTGAAATGAGCATGCAGCTGGTTTTACACTAGTTAAGGACTGATATAAATCAATAGTTCAAGTCTGAGTAATCCAAATTAGTAAGTTTTTTCTACAGTTTTGAAATAGCAAATCATCTCCATGGTGAAGCTCTAAATATATCACATCAACTCAGTGTCATGGTGTAACAGAAGAGCAATAAATGGGGAATCCAGAGGCATTATCTCGAAATCTGCCTTTGATAGCCTGTGTGATGCTCAAGAAGTCATGCAAAGGGGCGCCTGGGTGGCTTAGTCGGTTAAGTGTCTGCCTTAGGCTCAGGTCATGATCCCAGGGTCCTGGGCTCAAAGAGTCCTGCAGCAGACTCCTTGCTCAGCAGGGAGCCTGCTTCTCCCTCTGCCTGCAGCTCTTCCTGCTTGTGCTCTCCCTCTCTCGGGCAAATAAATAAATAAAATCTTTAAAAAAAAAGAGTCATGCAAATCTCAGTTTTGTTCTGTCAAACGAGGAGATGAGATTAATGTTATTTTGCTTTGGTTTTGACATGATCTGAATTCTAAGTCATGTCCCAGGAGGTTGAATTGCTTTTAAGAACAGGTGAAGTATTTGTAGCATGCAGGTGTTTCTGACCTCATCAAACACGGTAGATGACCATTAATAAGACAAGAGAGAAGCTATTTGGGCTAAGTCTAGGGGTTGTGTTACTAAGCTTGTTTTTACCCCCTTTGTGGCTGCCCTTATTTAAAATGGGCTGTCTTTCTTTGTTGATATGTTGTGTACCTTCCCCTTACAGCTGAAATATCTGCTATATGTCAGAAGAAGGTAAGAGCAAAGCATCTGTGTGGTGGGGCATGATTTGCTGTGTGTATGTAAATTTATTCATCGACATCTGCCTCATTTCTGCCCCCTGGTTTCCCAGTATGTACATGTCACTGTATTCGCGAGGGGGAAAAGAGGTAATTTAGCATGCAAGATTGCTATGTCCGAATGGTCTCTGTTTTCATTTCTGCTTTTGCTCACCCACCTTATGCACAGTGTTTTTGATAAGTAATCTGCAATGAAAGCATATGTGTGACTCTAATTACAAAAAGCTTTGAATGACCGTGCAGGGCATGCAACATAACTTTGGTAAAGGATGTATCTTGTATGCTCAAAAATCTTTCTTGTTTGAAGTAGAGTACAAATCGTTCAATACATGTGTGTCAAACATACTCACACTGACTACGTATGGCAAATATTCATTTATATGTAAGCTGAAATGTATCTCTAGTTAAAGATTCCACCTTCAGATTTCCTTTAGCCACTTTTCATGAGTTTCCCTAAGCCAGTTCCATCCTCTTTTCTTGTTCTAGTTGTTGAAAAGTACTAGACAAGGTAGTGTGGTGTCATACAAAGAACTTTGGATTAGTTGGTTGAAACATTTGGTTTCTGGCCCTCGCTGTCCCCATTTACCTATGAGACCATGTACAAGTCATTTAAACGTTTTAGGACTTGGTCGTGAGTGCGTACAGTCAACTGGTGGGTAGTCTAGGGATTGGCTGGTCCAGATGACCTCACTTCCATGTCTGGGGCCATAGCTGGGACAGCTGGAATGACACCCAGATGACAGGGGTGTCTGGCTCTCCCTCTTGCCATTAGGGGTCTCATCCTCCAGGGGGCGAGGCTGGATTTGTTCACAAGGCAGCAGTGTTTGGAGTGAATGAGATTTACTGAATTGCAAGGCCTTTTGAGACAGAAGCTCCTAAGTCACATGACTTCTGCTGCATTCCACAGGTCAAAGCAAGTCCCCAGGCTAGCCCAGATTCAAGGAGAGGGGAAGTAGACTTCTCCCCTGTATAGAAGGAGTGACAAGAATTCTGTGGTCACATTTAATCTATCATCATCCACCCTCTGGCCATAATTACTTACATTTCTTCCACATGTAAAACACTTCCACCACCTTACAAGACTTCCTACAGTCTTAAATCCATTTATGGCTTCAGTTCATCATCCTGTGACCTGCATATGGTCTGGTCCCTGATGAAACTCCTTGGGTGCAAATTCTCTTGATCCAGAGACCTGTGAACTAAAAAGGCAAGTTATCTGCCCCCTTCCCCGCCACACCCTACACATGATGGTCAGATAGGGACAGGATAAGAGCCGTGGACCTCCGTTCAGAAGAAAGGGAAGCACATTGCTGTCAGCTCATGATAGCAGTTCCAGCCACGAGCACGTCAATGGTTCTTCGTGTCCAGGGATGGTGAATGTACTTTGACTGGGATCTGGTTCTATTTCCTGGGAGTAGTTCCCTAGTCCACTGTTGTTCTCCTGAATTCTTTGCTCTACTCTCTGAGACATCTTTCTTTTCCAAGAAGAAATGGTCCATGTTCCAGCTGAGGCACTATCTTAGCTTGTCCCCTGCATGTAGTCCCATAGACTTCCTTTCATGTTGGACCGTGTCTGTCCCCTTTAGTCTAAGTTGGTGGCCCTTTTGCTAGTAAGACTTACTATAAAACTCTAGGTTTTCAGTAAATCTCATTGGAGTTCAGGGCCCCCAAAGCCACATCTGTAATTCTTTTGGGGACAGTCCTTTCTATACTTTGGGCATTTTGGTCTACCCTTAAAATTATTAGAATTTTAATAATTCTAGCTGAAAGGCTCAACGAGGCATCACCTTATATCCTTCTGAAGTTTTAGCAAAGGATCGTGCAGCCAGTCTGCATACTTTTCATTTTTATCCTGAGGCTATTTCCTACTATGAAAATCTTTTATAAGCCAGAGAGAAAAGGATGAGAAAGAGTTTTATATTCTAAATGAGCATGTCTTGGCTCTGGTGGTATAACCTAACATATTTGACACCATAGTGGATCCTTTTTTTAACACTGCTCCCCTTTTTAAGGCAAAAATATTTTTAGTAATGAGCTTCGAATTAGCATGTTTTTATTATCCTTTAATAAATGTTGTATTTTATATATGGAGAACATTCATTAAGTTCACAGTGGTTCAGAATTGTTTGAGCTTGCTTTGGGTACAGTTTGTGTCAGCCTCTTTTGAAGGACATATTCCTATATTCGAACAGTGGGTTTGAAATAAGCATCAAAATTGTAACGGCAAAGAGACAGACTTTGATTTATTTCAATTCTGTCATTCTATGAGCCAGGTTGGAGTTATTTTTTTATGTTTAAAATTCAAAGCAGTAAAACAGAGTGGCTGGGGAAAACCATGCTCAGTGAAATCTGAATCTAAGGGAAGTCTCTCTAGTTTGCTTTTGAAAGGAATGCATATAGCTGAGTCCGCATGGATTGAGGACTGACTGTGGCTTGGAAATACATTATTAAAACTTAGTGGGAACCACAACAATGGTTTAGAACTTGAATCAACCAAAGGTTATTTTGGGGCAAAGTATTTTATTGCTGATATTACTTGGAATTGATGGTACATGGTGATAAAGCAGGTTGACTCTTAGTTGGTGTTCCTGATGCTAGTATATGCAATATATCTAGATAACTGCATAAGAAATCACTCAAAATGTGGCAGCATTAAACAACAACAACTTAATGATGCTCATAGATTCTGTTGGTCAGGGATTTGGACAGGGCACAGTCCATAGCCTGTCTCTGCTTGATGATGTTTGAGCCCTGCTCTGGGAAGACTCGAATAACTGGGCGCTGGAATTATCTAGAGGCTTCCAGATCATATAGTTTGGGCTCTGGGATGGGGTGACTTGAAGGCTCCACTTAGCCAGCACTGTTGACAAGAGACTTACGTACACATTGCCTCTCTACATGGCTTGGCCATGGCAGAGTTCTGAGTATCCCAATGAGGAACTGTCTGAGGAGAGAACATTTCAAGATGGCCAGTGAAAGTTGCATGTCTTTTGAAATCTGGCCTCAGGAGTCATATAGGTATCACTTCTGCCATATTTTATTGGTTGAAGCAGCCCATCTAGATTCAAGGCAAATGAACGCATACCTGAGGAAACCAACCCAAAGAGCCTCATCCACAGTTAGACTTGATTTAGATGACAAGACCTTGAACCTCCAACCAAGAGTTTGCATGTGGGAAGAATGTAAATAATTTGCGACCAGAAAGTGGGATGGTAAATTGCAGGCCTTAAACTTCAGGACTTTATTATAGTGAATAATTACCTGCTAAACCCATATCCTCATCCTATTGTTTATAGCATAGTGGGAATCCCAGAGGAACAAAAACTAAGTATAACCAAGAGGAAGAAATTAAACACTAAGAATATATCTGATATACACCACACTGCTAGTGGTGTGGTATTGGTTTGGTGGGGAGCAGAAGCCCCAAACCAATAAGGATTCATGTGCTTCCAGAATAAAAGTTAGTGTTTGAGAAAGAAAGAAAGGACATAGAGGGGAAAATATACCACTTGGTGAAGTCAGAACTGACCTGGATGCTCACAAGACTTGGGCCTCAGTTGCAGAAGAAACACACTGTATTTTAACAAAGAATTAAAAAAAAACCCATATTAATAAAAGAAAGATTACAGAAATTTTAAACTTGCTTGTATCATTCATTGGCTTGCGTCCTGTTCAGAAGATGAGATTTCTCAGCACTAGGACCCAGAGCCTCGTACTAAAATCGAAGTGGAAGAACCTTCCTTTGAAACGGTCATTCCAATAGCCAGTTCAATATGTTGTCAGTGGTTTGATGTAGGTGTTGTGCTTGCCTCCTTCCTTCTCCTATCTCCTCAAAAGATCTGTCATGGGGGGGGTGCGGTCTCAAATCTCCACCAAGCTCTGTGTTCATAATGGCTTAGGGTATGACATCCCCTAGAGGTGTTCACATCTTTATAAACTCTACTGAAAGACTGAAAAGCTCCCAGGACACAAGACATTGAGTATGTACTGTGGCATCTCTGACAAGCTCAGGACACATATTTTTGTGGAGGTCAGGAATGTTTCCTGACAGCTTCTCAGATGGCTTCATGTGGGTGGTGCCTCTCTCCTTTGCCTCTTGTCAGGGTAGCTCTGAGTAGCCCCTCTGGACTCCGGATTCACTCTGTACCCCTACTTTTCTCTTTGGTATCCCTTCCTCTGTGGATTCCTTTCCGTAGTTGATGTCAGCAGCTGATTCTATGAATGGTTCTTGCTGTGTTTTGCTATGTTCCCATGGTGTCATTTAACATGTTTGACATATTCTTTAGGTCTTGAGGGAAAGAGTGCTGGAGGGAGTGGGCATCTTGCTTGGGGCCATGAGCTCAGTGCAGCCTGGTCCCCTACCTGTCACACAGCAAGGACAGAGGAGCTGGAGTGGAAATCTGCTCTTTCAGGGGTGGATCAAATAATTTTGAAAGTTTAATCTGGGGGTTTAATCCTTTCCTCTTCTGATGTGCTGTGATGTACTCTTTCTGGACCACAGTTTCAGGGTTTTTTCCTCCGTATTTCTGCTGAAAACTCTTGAAACACTAACTTGAAATAATCCAGAAAGCATTCCACCCCAACCCCATGACTAATGCAATTTTACAGAGGGCTTTCCATCACAGTTCCACTCACATTTAGGACGTTTCTGCCACTCACACTACTAGAACCCACTTGTTACCTTTATTTTTAACTATGCCTGAGATCTGTTTAGAGACCACCTGTCTTGTAGAAATTTTAGAAATGTGCGGCCACTTCCAGTGGCCCCTTAGCTTTACATTTGTTTCAATTCTTAGCCACCTTTACCTCATTGATCAGTGTTAGCTGATTTCGCTATTTTTTTTTTTTTCCCTCTAGAATTGCAGTTCTCACGTAAGAAGAGCAGTGGTCACCTGCTTTTCAGCAGGGTGCTGCGGCCGTCACGGAAACCGGCCTGTTCGGTATTGCAAAAGATGCCACTCGAATCATCATAGCAACGAAGTGGGGGCTGCCTCGGAGACCCACCTCTATCAGACCTCCCCTCCACCCATCAACACTCGGGAATGCGGCGCCGAGGAGCTGGTCTGCGCTGTGGAGGCCGTGATCAGGTAACAGGCAGCTTGTTTCTGGGCCTGCCCCAAACACTGCCTTGGCTTTGAGCCACCCTGCGCGCCCCGAGATGTGTAAAGTTAATTCAGCTTCAGGGGCCCCCAGCCTAGCCTCTCACCTTCCACCATGCAGTGACGATGCTTTCATGCAATCATTCACCCAGTATTTTTTATCGATTGTACCAGGCATGTGTTAGGAACTTGAGAGAAAGGAGAGAATAAAATGGAGTCTCCGCCTTCAGGTTACCCCTGGAGGGACCATAACAACAGAAGCACACAATTCCATCCCCTGTGGGAAGCCCTGTGGGAGCACAGAGCTGAGGGTCTCGGGGGAATGAAGCGCAGGCGCCCATCAGAGTGAGGGGTGGGAAGAGAGGTGCCCCAGCCTAACTGCCTACAGTGAAGTGCGGGAGAACTCTCGGTAATTCGGTACTGGGGTAAACCAGCAGGCTCTGCAGTAAGCTGGGGGTGGGGGTGGGGTGTCCAGTCCTGCAGGCTGCAGGCTTTCTGTCCTATCACATGACCGTAAAAGAAGCTTTGGAAATGATAACTTCCAGACTCGTTCTCTTTTTGTACAATATTCATTGAGGCAAGATTTTTAAACATTAAAGAAATAATTTAGAATGTAAGTTTTCTCAGGATAGGGACTCTTCTGTGTCTCTTACTCCAGTGGCTGAACAGGTGTAGAAATGCAATAAATGTTTGTCAAATGAAACATTACAGAAAGTTTGGAAATTGAAAAAAAACAATCACCCATACTGCTATCATCATGGTCAGCTTTGCACAGGTTCTTCTAGTTGTATTCAAATGCACTTCTTATTTATGTAACTGTAATCATAGTGTATCCACAATTCTTTTTGATGTAATATTATACCACTAGCTCTTTTGCATGTTGTCATATGGTTTCTGTATTTACCATTTTTAGTGGAAACATAATTTTCATCTAGATTATTTGCCTACACCTTTAGATTTCTAGATTTCTTCCATTCTTTACTATTACAAATTACTCTGATAAATACTTTTGTGAATAGTGCTGTTTTGTATTTTTTATTTCTTAGGGTAGATGACAGATATGGTTGGCTGGGTCAAAGGGTATGAATATTTTCATGGCTATTGATATATTACCAAACTGATTTTCAGAGTGCGTGTATGAATTTATAATGCCAACAGCAGTCTGAAATGGCTAGTTTTTGATACACCCTTGCCAATGTTGGGTTTTATTTTTTAATTTTTTAAATTTTTATTTTTTTAAAAAGATTTTATTTATTTATTTGAGAGAGTGTGCACAAGCAGGGGGAGGGGCAGAGAGACAAGCAGACTCCCTGCTGAGTGGGGAGCCTGATGCAGGGTTCTATCCCAGGACCCCTGAGATCATGACCTGAGTGGAAGTCAGATGCTTCACCTGCTGAGCCACCCAGGTGCCCCCACTGGGTTTTATTTTAAAAAATTATGACTTCTTTTAGCAGATTGAGAAAGGAGTCTTTGTTGCTCATTTTCAGATCTTTGAATATTAGGTATGGAATATTTTTCCATTTGTGTATACATTCCCCAGTCTCTCTCCTTGTACCATGCATTTGATGTCCACATAACTTCAGATTAGATACAGGGAAAGTATTAACGTCTAGTGGGATGGTTGGTGAACTGGAAGCCAGAATGCATCAGTTCTGCTTGATTTTAATTGATTGGAGGAAGCAGCCTCTTTGTGCCTCAGTTTGTTCATTTTTGAAACGGGGATGGAGTACAGGAAGGAAACAAAATTAGGCCTGTTGGAGTAACTCCTACCGATTGAAAGGAGAGCAGTCAGGAATGCTTGAGTGAGTACCCATGAAGTAGTTACTCTGAACAGGTCATCACCTAGAATGTGTTTTTTGGTAGTCTGACTTGACGTTGCTCATCTTTGGCAGCTTGTTGAAAGAAGCTGAGTTCCATGCTGAGCAGCGGGAATATGAACTGAACCGCCGGCGGCAGCTGGGCCTTTCGTCTTCCCACCATTCCCTTGATAACACTGACTTTGACAACAAGGACGATGATAAACACGACCAGAGGCTACTCAGTCAATTCGGAATATGGTTTTTAGTAAGAAAATGATTCTCCGCTTTCTTGTTTCTCACGACAACATTGCACCAATGAGGAGTATTTCCTGTTCTTTTTAAAGAAGCAAATAGTAACTAGTGAAAAGTTAACCTTATCAGTGGAACTCTATATGCTAGGACAGTGACTCTCAACTGGGTTGTACGGTAGATTTCCCCGGGAAGGCTTTTAAAGAATGGCAATGCCCAGATCCCACCCCAGAATCTTGGGAACTTTAAAAAAGCACCCCAGTTGATTCTAATGAATAGCCAGGTGTTGAAACCTACTGGCCAGACCCTGGACTGTTTGAAATGCTCATTTGACAGAAAATGAGTGGGGAGGTTGCTAGGGTATGTTTTGAAATCTTGGAGTCAATATAATTGTATAATTTGCAGATCATTCACATCCCATCTCTATACACGACATTTTTCTTGAAAGTTCAGTCTCTGTGGCACTTTTTGTGTATTTATATTTATGGCACGTCTGCATACAGCCAGAAATATTAGAGCCATATTAACACGAGAAGTTGACTGTTTTTAACTGATTCACTGGCAACATTCATTCAGCAAAGATCAAACATTCTAGTCCTAAATTCTTCACAAGTTGAACTTGCCAGTTGTTTAGAGAAGCAGACTCTTGTTTTTGCCCATCAGAGACAGATGAAGTCTCCATAGGAATACATCTCTTTTATGCTTTTACATGGTTATCTGAAAAAGTCGCGTCTTGTTTTGTCTTACCAAATTGGCATTTAATTGTTAATTTCACATGTTTTGCTCCTAGAAATTATTGTCTAGTAACATAATGACTGCTATTGTGAACTCTTTGAAGGCAAGGGTAGCATTTTCTTTATTTTGTACATTCCTGACCCCTACTATAGTGCTTAATAAAAGATTATTACAGAATGAATAATGAATAAATGATGAGCTGTTTTTAAAAGTCTATTTATAATGTGAATTAGGGAACCCTAAGCTTTCAGAATTATTACTGGTAGAAAATCCTTAGCTAAATCTGATACTTTTAGAACGGAAATGTAGGTAGATTATTTTTTCACTTAAGATATTTGTGAAATTTCACTTTGCAGACTTAACTTTTTATTTTTTCAAAAGATTTTATTTATTTGACAGAGAGAGAGAGAGAGACAGCAAGAGAGGGAACACAAGCAGGGGGAGTGGGAGAGGGAGAAGCAGGCTTCCCACTGAGCAGGGAGCCCGGGCTCAATCCCAGGACCCTAGGATCACAACCCGAGCCGAAGGCAGACACTTAACGACTGAGCCACCCAGGCGCCCCAAGACTTAACTTTTTAAAAAAGCATGTATCTAGTGTAGATTAAAAAATAGTTTGTTTTTTTTTTTTTTTACAAAATAGATTTCTTATAGGGGAAAAGGCTTATGGAAAGGTGCAGTCTCGAGGGGAAATTATTGTTGCAATCCATCTCTCCTGCGAGGAATGCAGTTTCTAGGTTAACCGATCCTCCATCAATTATATAACTTCCTATTTCAAATGGATTATTGGGAACTTTTTTTTTTTGGCTTTTAAACGAATATGTAATAATTATGTAGAGATAGATGGAGGCTGAAGCAGAGTCTAATCTGCCCATTTGCAGGTGAGCCTCTGCACACCCAGTGAGAACACGCCTACGGAAAGCTTGGCCAGGCTGGTGGCTATGGTGTTTCAGTGGTTTCACTCCACAGCCTATATGATGGATGATGAAGTTGGGAGTTTGGTGGAAAAACTGAAGCCTCAGTTTGTCACCAAGTGGTTGAAGACAGTATGTGATGTTCGCTTTGATGTCATGGTCATGTGCCTTCTTCCCAAACCAATGGAATTCGCCAGGGTAAGTGGAGACCAACGACTCGAACCTTGTTGGAGAGGCATTGGGAGAAGCTCTGCCCTAGCCATTAGCGTGTTATCAGTGTCTGTAGAAGAGAGAGTATCTTTTAGTTAATACAGCTGAACGAGGTTAGTTGAGTAACTACATTTTAGGGGATGTGCTGCTTTGGTGTTGGTTTGGGATGGGGAAGAATGGCAAGATGAACGTATGAATTATCTTTAAGAATTTAAGGGAGGATTCTTCCCTGATATTGCTGAAGATGTTTTTTAATTAAGAAATAGAAAAAAATTTTTTTTCTCCCTGAGATTGCTAGAGCTCAGTCCTTTTCTGATCTACTGTCTTATGAAAGGCTAACATTGGACTAGGAGCAATTTCTGTGGTTTCACATATATTTCTAGAGATGAATGGTAGAAATCCCTGCCCTCCCATTTGGAATGCCAAAAAAGGCTTATTAGGAAGTGCCAAAATGCTCCTTTTCCTCTGGCTTAGAGGACAAGTTTCTCTGAGCTCATCCTTTTGCTTCTGCCTCAGTGGATTATAGGCTCCAGATTTATAGCTAGTAAGACCCCATATTTTTTGAATCCAATATAGTTTGTGTCTAACCTAGCAAGGTGGATGTCCAGAATTAGTTTTTGGCAGGAATATATGAAACTTTTTCAAGGTGTTTTCTGAATTTTATTTTATTTGTGATTTTTTTTGGTTGCTTTCATTGAGATACTGAGGCATTTTTCAGTCTGAATAAGACATTTCAGGATACAATAGACCACAGACCATCTAAATGAGTACCTTATATTAGATTTTGGGGACACAGAGCAGTTCTATGTGTTTGTCAAGATACTCTTCTTCTTTGCTGCCACCTGCTGACTCACATATAAAATTGAATTTTTGCATACTGGAAATTCCTTATTTCATGGCATTCTTTGACTATGTTGGTATGTTTTCTGTTGTTTCCTTTGGAAAAGTAAAGGATTGGTCTGCTCTGATTTTGGAAGATAAGAAGAATTGGGAGGAAGATTTTTCCCTTTCCAACATGGGCCCAATGGCTGAGGGCCTGCATATTAACCAGCAACAGACCTAGTCGGGAGAGAAAAGACAAAGTGCGTTTACACTTACGCTCAGTACTCAGTCCATCACTGAATACTCGGTGATGGGTAACTCCCTCAGGAGCCAGAGATAAAAGGTGTGTGTGGGGAGGTTAGCACTGGAATGGGAAGATATGGAAGGTTCTCTCGGGCCTTTTGATGCGAGTGGCACTCCACAGTCTGTCTCAACTCAATTCCGGAGTTGAATTCACAGGCAACTCCCTTTAATGGAAGTGATATTTTCTGGAAGCTTTGCTTTAGTCAGACAAGGGAAGTTGGGGTAAGGTTTCTCTCTGCATCTTCTTTAGCTCAAATGTTTTCATTAAAATAATCTTTATACCAAGTCTGGGGGTCTGAGTGATTTCCCCCCATTTCTCCCAACTGAAACTTCTGGAGAAGTTTCACACAAAAATGAAGCACGGTTGATTGCTGTGGATTTGGGTTAGGCACTTCCAGGTGAGAGGTCTGCAAAGGAGGAAGAGGGCAGAGATTAGGACAAAGAAACAGACAAACAAAACTAAGGTTAATGGTGAGAGTAGACTATAAACCTAGTTTCTGAGGCCACAGGGCAGCCAGTCAAGATTTGTAGATGTTGGGCTCAATGCGTCTTTAGATGATGGAGTGAGGACATCAGTGCCCGGTCGTGGTTATTACCTGGAGCAGAGCATGGTGGATGCGAGTGTTCCGTGAGCTTCCTGACTGGCCGAGGCTGTTGCCCCAGTAAGTAAGTCCTTTGAAGTTCTTAGCAAGTCATCTTGCTCTAGCTTGTAGGGCTTTTGGGACAAGACAACCTAGAGTCTCAGGAAGGATTTGGGCAGTCCGGTTTTAGTTTTCAGTGACACCAAATCAGCAGCCTGGGAGAAAAATTGGAAACATTAGTTACTGAAAAAATGTGCAAGACAAATACCATATGATTTCACTCCTATGGGGAATTTAAGAAACAAAACAGAGGAACAAAGGGGAAGGGAGGGCAAAATAAAATAAGATGAAATCAGAGAGGGAGACAAACCATAAGAGACTCTTAATTATAGGGAACAAACCGAGGGTTGTTGGAGGGGAGGTGGGTGGGGGGTTGGCGTAACTGGATGACAGGCATTAAGGAGAGCACGTGATGCAATGAGCACTGGGTGTTGTATGCAACTGACGAATCACTAAATTCTACTTCTGAAACTAATTAATACGCTATATGTTAATTATTTAAATTTAAATAAAAAAATTTTTAAATGTACAAGAGAGCAGGATTCAGTTTATGAAGAGGCAAAAAATAGCTCAAAGGCAATGAACAGGACTAGAATCTGATAACTCACAGGGGTGGGTTATAGTTTTCCATTGAAACACAAAATCTCTCTCTCCAATCACCCCCATTTTGATCAAAGATAATCAAAGTGAGATTACTCTTATTCACAAAATAAGTCGTCTCATTAAATTTAGCCTACTTATTTCTGTAAATGCAGTGAGAATGGTAGTTGACCAAATAGACCTTTTTAATGTTTGCTTTGCTGGAGTTTTTATGGAGAATCTCAGCTTGGGCTTTTATAAACCTCTAGAGGCTAGAATGCCAAGCCAGTAACTTGTTATCATACTTCATCTGCAGTACCTATAGATTTGGGTAAATTTCTCTCTTTTTGAGGTCACCAAAATATTCTAAGCTTCCTGGGCCGACCAGGAAGTGATATTTCTTACTTGCTTTTAGGCTGGGATTTCCATAAGCCAGGTACCAGGTTGGTTCTTTCAAGAGGGCTTTGTAAGCATTGACTCCTTTATGTCAACCTTAGTTCCTTAGAACTGTCTAGCCATATCTGATTCTATGCACACACTTCTAAAATATGACACTCCAGTCAAAGCCTTGGTGATACAACCAGTTTTTCCAATTATGTTTTAATACAAGGAGAACAGATCCTTCTTAAATTTCTGCATGAAAATAAAAATACTCACTAAGAGTTTCTGAACCCTGGAGGGACTTGATGGGGGGAGAAAAAGACAAATATTTCATTGTTGTTTACAAAAATGTAATCTACTAAATTGTTGTGAATTATAGATAGCTTAAGAAAAATCTTATATCCAGAAAATAGAACAGTAAAGAGCCAGCAATGCTCCAAACTAAAAAACAAAAACAAAAACATAAAAATGATCATCATTCTTCATCAGTTCATTCAGCCCCATGCAATTAATTTTCATTCCGTTTGATCTTGGGTTAGCAGTTGTATGAACCCATCAGCTTCTCTATCAGAGTTCTGCAATCCTTTCTCAAGCCAGTGGCATGCAATGCCCTCAGAAGCCTGTACCCCATATTGCCTGTCATAGTCCTTTCCGTGGGTCTCAGAGACAGTCTTTTTGCTGAAGTCAAAGTGTTCTGTCTCGTGGCTGATTGCAAGAGCTTTCAGGAAAGCATCAGAATAAAACAGTAACAATCTGATAACTCAGAAGAGACAGCTGTTTTTTCTTAGACCAACAATATTAATGTAGTCTTATTTATCAAAGATTTACCCAAATTGCATGAACTTGATAAACATTTGGGTTACTCTCTATATTTCAGAGAGTTTTGGGCATATTTAATTTATATAAGCTCTTATGTTTTTAAAGCTTATTTGGAATAGAGATCTTTTAATGGATTTTATAAATTGATTTGTGAGTACCATTCAGAGGTAAGAAAATATCACATATATGTAATATACCTAGGCAAACATATAGGCAGATACAAATACAAATGGTCCCCAACTTACGATGTTTTGACTTATGATTTTTTTACTTAATGGTGGTGCAAAAGCGATACACATTCAGTAGAAACCGTACCTCAGAATTTGAATTTTGATCTTTTCCTGGGCTAGGGATATGCAGTATGATCCTCTCTCTTTTGATGCTGGGTAAGGGCAGTGAGCCTGAGCTCCCAGCCAGCCACGTGATCATGGGGTAAACAACTGCTACACAGACAACCATTGCACACCCATACAACCATTCTGTTTTTCATTTGCAGTCCACTATTCAACAGATTACATGAGATATTTAGCACTTTATTATAAAACAGACTTTGTGTTAGATGATTTTGCCCAACTTACAATGGGCTTATTGAGCTGTAATGCAATTATGAGTTGAGGAAGAACTGTTGACCTTAACAGCAGAGCCTGTCATGGTAAAAACAAAACTTGCTAGTTTATATAAGGGTTGGCGTTCATAGGCACTCCTCATCCTCACTTTTATTCAAATTGTGTCTCTAACAGATAGAACAAGTGGTTAACCTGTTCAGTGTAAAGGCTAACGCTTTTTATCAGTATGTGTGGGGGAGCCCTTCAAGATCTTTTTATTGGCCTTGATATGTAATCTCATGAAGGCTGTGTTTCATCCTCAGGCAGTTACTTATTTCAGTCAGCTAAGAAGTTAGCTTTTTTTTTTTGAAGATTTTATTTAATTATTTGAGAGAGGGAGAGTGAGAGAGGGAAAGAGAGCACAGAGGGAGAGGGAGAAGCAGACTCCCTGCTGAGCAGGGAGCACACTATGGGGCTCGATCCCGGGACCCTGAGATCATGACCTGAGCCAAAGGCAGATGCTGAACCAACTGAGCCAGCCGGGCGCCCCAAGAAGTTAACTTCTTGAAGACTGGGATATGCTAAGGACAACGGCAATGGAGGTTTGCTAAGGGGGTTGTTAATTGGAGCTTCTCAGAAGGAGGAATAAATGTCCCCTGTTTTAGAATAGGAGGCAATAGTACGAGTAAAAGCAAGGCACTCGTGGGGCGGAGCCAGAGTTATTTCCATGGATGTTTGCCTCTCGGAGAGATGGTTCTCAGGTCCTTGAGAAGATAGTTCTGGGTGGTAGGAGATTTACATCTCAAAGAGGGAGGGAGAGGATGCAAGCTTTTAAAGTCACTTCCGGGAGAGGGTTTTCAGGGGTTTTATTTGTCTATTAGGTTTTGACTGGGACAAATAATAACGTTCTCCTGGTAGCGTGGAGCTTTTATGAGCAGGCATTTCAAGGCAGGAGGAGCGTGGGAGGTGAACAACATTATTTATGCTGAGTCTGAAGTCTTTTTTTTTCTTTAAAATTGTTTATTGTTATGTTAATCACCATGCATTACATCATTAGTTTTTGATGCAGTGTTCCATGATTCATTGTTTGTGCATAACACCCAGTGCTCCACGCAGAACGTGCCCTCTTTAATACCCATCACCAGGCTAACCCATCCCCCCACCCGAGTCTGAAGTCTTGAGCTGGTCCTGGTGGAGGTCTGAGTGGAGAGCGGGGCTCAGAGGAGTAGGCCTGAGGAGGTGGAGGCCTGAGATGGTTACTACTGAAGTGTTTCTTCAGTGCAGGAAGCCTCTTTTCCAATGTCCTAACTGTTTATGGTATCTGCAGGCATCTCGAGATGAATAGGGGAGGCTTTGGGATTGTTAAGAAGCATGGGTGGGCTTTGGGTTACTTCTAGAAACACAATTATGTTTTCGCAAAAATCCAGTTAGTAAGGTGAGGACAGTTATTTTTAATTCTTCAAAGAACAAGATGGCAGTCTTGATAATAACATTAATTAAGGAGCTGGCCTGCCTGCTCAACTGCATTCATTTTAATTCTTTGTATTGATGAGAGAAGATTTCCAGCTAAGGGGGAAAACAGAAGATTCCTGTGTTCTAAGACGCATAGATTTGGAGCTGTGTACCTTTGCAATATTTTTATAAATTGGCAAAGGGTTTAGGATGTTTTCCTTCTGAGTACATCATTCCACTTTAGCCCAATTAAACTTCAGAGGGAAGGCCTCTATAATAGCTCCTATCAGGCTCTGAATATGGGCCTCCAGCTGGGTCATTCACAAGAGGAGGTGGTGGAGGGGGGGAGTTCATGGTGGGGGCAAATTTTAATTTTTGTTCTAAATCTGATTTCCGTTCTAAATTTTGCTAGGGGAGTCTTTTAGGGCTAGTTGTGATCTTTTGTGTGTGTGTATCTTATCAATTTGATCCTCCCATATTGGTAATAGGACATTTGTTTAGGGTGAGAAAACTCTAGAAATCCTTTTAAATATAATACTTTTCCAAATCAAAGGATCCATTGTCTGGCTGTTGACAATTGAGGAACACCACGGAGATACTTGTTCCAAAATGTGACTCAAAACCAGTAGGCCTTTATGTGGCTCAACCATAAATTACATGACCAAAGGAACCTCAGCAAGGATACATGCCACCTTGTCAACATTATCAGTGTTAGCTCTTCTGAGTCTATGTAACTAGCAACAACAGTGACAATCCCAGAAATGTAGTCGCTTCCTGAAAATATCCAGTCAGTCATCTAGGATTTTGGACAATATGATACCAAATAGATATTTAAGCTTTAAATGGAATTGATTTAATAGTTTTGAATAACCTAGAATTCTAGGTATAATGATTAAACATTTAAAATTGGATTCATTTAAAATAAGGTGGTTTCCCACAAAACTTGTGTTACATGGTAAAAATTCAGGACCAGTTGAGCCTTTGTTACTTTGATATGCTTAATAAGAATATAAGATCTTCATCTAAAATTGGAATTATAAACAGAATCCAAATTTGTGATTTGAATTTTTTTCTGCACTAGAAAATTAATATATTATCTTAATTAGTAGAAAGTATGTCTTTTTTGTTCATGAATTCAACCCGCCTTAGAGCATTTTTAGGAAAAAAATTGTGGCACAATATGCAGCAGAGGGAAAAAGAGTGCTCTCTGCTTTATTTTCCATGATGAAAAATATTCAATGCTAAGTGTACAGTAGTAGAAATCTATATTCCTCTGAAGCACAGTTGTAACTACATGTTTTTGTAATGGGTTTGTCAAACTTTAGAAATAATAATGCTTCAATAGTATGCTTCTCCTGTTAGGAATAAATCTTGGGAATTTTAATTCATGTGTTTTCTGGAAAGACTGCAGTAGAATAGTTCAAATTCAGTCTGTGTTGATATTTGGACCTACTTATAACTATGATTTCTTTTTTGGTAATTAATGGATCCCGGTGGTTTACAGATTCTTACAAATCTCACTCTGAAGATACTTGGCCCAGGACTTAGATGTAATGGATTGTGGTCTTTCTCTGTACCCATTTCCTTTAGGAAGTCCTTAGAGTATAATCTTAACAGGTGCATTTTGCTCTTTCCTCCTGTGGCTGTGGAAATGCCATCAGGTTGGTGGATACTGGGATAAATCCTGCAGCACAGTGACTCAGTTGAAGGAAGGTCTCAACCGAATCCTCTGCCTGATCCCCTACAATGTGATCAGTCAGTCTGTGTGGGAGTGTATTATGCCGGAGTGGCTGGAAGCCATCAGAACAGAAGTCCCAGATAACCAGTTAAAAGAATTCAGGGAAGTATTAAGGTGGGTAAGTAGTTTAATGAAGTCACCGTAATTATGATGTTGTCTAACATTTATTGAGTGTGTAATGTGTGCCAGGCACTGTGTTAAGCATTTTATGTAATCTTGTTTACTTTTTAACAACCCTATAGAGAAATCTGAAGGTGCAAAACGAAGTAGTTGTTATAAATTGTGCTGAGATGACTTGGAATTGTTCAGAAAAGATTTTGTTCTGTGGAATAATAAATACACCATATTGTTTGCTTATTTTCAAATATAGTATGATTTGGATAAAGTGGGGAAAGTGCAAAGGGAAAATGTTCTTAGATGCTGGGAAGCAACTCTAATTCCTTAGAAATACAGTTCCTTCTGTTGAGCCTGGTAGGTGTATAAACACTAATGTTATTAACTGTGTGAATTTTCATATCTGTTCTAATGACATAAACTATTACAGTAAAGTGAGATATGATAATAACATTGAGAACACAGACCGGTCAAAGGTGTTTGGCTCCCCCAAATAAGGTATAGTTAAAAATGCAACAGGAAACCCTAATCTATGCCCATTGATCATTTACTTCTGTTGGCTCTGCTTTCCAGCAAAATGTTTGACATTGAGCTCTGTCCTCTACCTTTTTCATTGGAAGAAATGTTTGGCTTTATTAGTTGTCGGTTCACAGGATACCCTTCCTCTGTTCAGGAACAAGCTTTACTGTGGCTTCATGTAAGTAAATGATACTTTTAATCATTTGAGGGCAATAGTTCTTAGACTGGAAACTTGAGATCCCTGGGTCGAGGAGCGGGAAGCTACTGCAAAGAGCCAATAAATTTGCATGTTTGCTGAGGACCGTCTACAGACTAATAACTCACCACACGGATGGATACCTATATTTCAAATAGATGTGGCTATAGTTATGGTTAATAAAATACAGATTTATGCAATACTGTTACTGAATTCATAATAGCTTTGGTCCTTATGTATTTTTCCATCAGTAGATTCTAAAGGTGTAATAGCTGTCTTGTGGACATTCTGATCAATCTTTTCATATTAAATAGGTCCTTTACTTGGAAAGGTTGAAAGCTCCTGACTGAGGGAGGAGCTCCTGTTCCCCCCCCCGCCCCCGCCTGAGCTTGGAATACTTCTCTCTCCGGTCTGCATTTGTAATCCAGTTTATCCTTAAAGCCCAACTCAAAAATGATCTCATCTCAAGTTTGCCGCTGTTTTACACCCCCATTTTCCCTTCAGAATTCATTATTCCTTCCCTCCAGTATCCATACGGGCTCTTTGTGCAAATGTTATTCTGTCTAATATTTAGTTCATTTTTGTCTCTTCTCCTGATTGCAAATGCCTGGAGGGCAGGGACGAGGCAGGCCTTTTTCATGTTTGAAATCATGCCTCCCTTCATCCCCTTTCCTCTCAGCATCTGGCACATGCCTTGTATTTATTTAGCGGATGTTCCTAAATATTTATTTAATTGAGTTGAATGCTCGGCAAAAAGTTTGGGCAGTTTCAAAACAGGAGGACAGAGCCCACGTTTAGTTTAGCCATGGGTGCTGTTACATTGCTGAATCACAGACAGAGGTGATAACAAAAGCTTTTCAAGTTGTGCGGCTGCCTTTCTGGGTTCTACACTGAGGAACAATATTTTTCACAACTGACAGAGTAAAGGGACCATTTTTTAAAAAAAGTCCCCCTTTGGGCACTTTTCATACCCTGGTAGTTATCAGTAAGAAAATTTCTCATTTTAGGAAAACCAGGCCTTCCACAGATGGCTAGGTGTTGTCACTCAGTTACACACCCTTGAGGCTGAGTTAGGTCGGGGTGAGCACACAGGGCCGTCAACCTCGGGCCTCACCATGGCGAGAGCAATTACAGCTGCGTGATTTATGGACAGGGATTTCCCAGAGTGCTGGTTTGAAGACAGGGTGCTGCAGCTGAAGGTTCTAAACCACTCGTCTAACCATTTGGGGAACAGTGTGAACAGCATAGTGATTGGAGTTGACTCATTTATTGATTGACTGTGGAAACATTTATAGAGTTCCTCTGTGCCAGGTGCTGTCACTGGCACTGGGATGAAAATGGGATAAGAAATGGTCTTCTCTTCATACTTCCTTTCTTCAGGGAGCTCACAGTGGGAGAGAGAGTATGAAACAATCACATATAACAAAAAGCGACAATTGCTCTAATAAATGTATGTACAGGGTTCTAACTAAGGAAGCAGAGAAGAGGGATGGATTAGTTCTGTTTGAAGGAAGGAGGCATCTATTTCCAAAAATTCATTACAGATAGAGAGTAACTTGATTTTGGCAGGATATCTGAGCCTGCATCAGAAAGCAAGATCAGACGGGGCAGTCAAATCAGAGGGGGGGATGGATTGGGGGAGGATTGCATGCAGGTTACACTACTCCAGAAGGAAGGTGGTGAACTAAGGCACTATTCTATGGAAAGGAGGAGACAGTGTCAAGAGATACTTAGAAGTTTTAGTAGAAATAACATGGCGATTTATGGAATGTGGGGAGTGGTGAAGATGGAAGGTTCAATAATAACTTCGATTTTTTAGTATGAAAAATCGAGGGTGGCTGTGCTGGTAGAATATACATAAGGTTAAGTATCCTTATGTTCAATAGTTTGCTTTGGGAAAAAATGTGAAATGCAGTTTTTTTTTTTCAGTTTTAAAGTTTATATTTTTTGGGGGGGGGATATATGCCTTTTTTTCCCCAGGTGTTATCGGAGTTAGACATCATGGTTCCACTTCAGCTATTGATAAGTATGTTTTCTGATGGAGTTAATTCTGTTAAAGAACTGGCAAATCAAAGAAAATCAAGAGTCAGTGAACTGGCAGGGAACCTTGCAGCTCGAAGGGTAATTATTGCCACAACTGTTTTTGTCTTACTTGTTAAGCTTTTGTCAATTCTGCCAGCTCCAAAAGTAGCATCATAATAAACTTCTCTGAAAATGCTCTTTCATCCCATCTCACTCTGTTAATCTTTTAAACACATTAAATCATAGAAAATATTGATCTAATATATGTTTCATATAATCTATGGTCAATAAATTGTTGAGTTTTTCCCTGCACATACCTATTAGCTGTCTCTCACCCTTGATGAAAACAAAAAGAGTTAACTTTGAGGTATTATTTCTTTTTTCTTTTTTTTTTGTCACCTGGTGAAAAAGAATTCTTTACCAGCCATTTGGTAGATGAGTGCTTCACTTTGGGGATGAGAAGTTGGGATGTTTTGTTCTATCGTGTTTCGAGGAGATGTGATCAATTGTCTGATGGTGACTGTGAGTGATACTGTCACTATGGACCAACTGAGCTCAATTTTTGGGACCCCTTCTTACCTTTGTGAATGAGAAAAGTCAACATAGTCTGGCCCAAAGTGTAGGAAAACTGTTGAGACTGTTTGATCATTTTTCTGTGGAGCACCTGGTAGAGCTTCTGTTGATGTGCTGACTTTCCCAAATAAGGATCAGTTCTGGACAGGTTCACTGTCCTGTGATGGTAGGCAGGGACTATTCTCAACTTGCCCTTGTCAGCCTCTCCATACCATTTTTCCTACTGTCATTCCTACCTGATATCTATGGATTAGGAAATATGTCAAAATCATGGGATCATAGTTTGCATCCATTGCTTTCTTTTGATTTTAATCATTACTTCTTTTCTCATCTGCCTCATAGGAACCAGCTGGCAAGCATTTATATTTTGTTTCTTTCTTCTCTAACCTCTAATATTATGTGACTTAGTTGGTGCCTTCTACTGTGCAATGTGTTCACAATGAACAGTATCACAGAATGGTGTGAGGCAGTTGGAGAAGAACTCATTATCCTCATTTTTATCAATACTTAACCTGAGGTTCAGTGGGCTGAAGTGATTTGCCATAGAGAACACTGTCAATATCCAGGTATTCTGGTTCTTGATGGGGTACTCTTTTTTTTTTTTTTAACTTAAATATGGTGTTCAAGGAACTTGCTGGTTGTTAGAGATACTTTTAAGAGAGAAAATATGATTTCGGAGTGATATACAGTACAGATATGTCAGTCATTGTCCTGCTACAGAATTTATCCCACATGGTTCAAATGGAGAGACATTCCTGGAGATTCTGTCTATAGAGTTATGGGGAAGGTTAAGGGAGCAGTAAGTGTTGGTGAGGCACCTAGATGCCAGTAACAGCTCAGTAGGAAGCCATTATACCCCCAGGGCTGAAGGAACCAGGGAAAGAGTTCCTGGAGCCCATTGAGAGCTGAAATATTAAGGAAGGGCTGGCTGGAAGAGTGATGGAGAGACTGCCAAGGATGTAGCATCAAAGCAGGCAGGGGGTGGGACATATACTTCCACCTTTCTCTTCTTCAACTGCAGGGCTTCTGCTGGTGCCTCCCATTGACTCTACCCAACTGGAAGCCAACTAGCAAGAAAGCCAGGAGAGACTCTATCCTCGGCATCCTTGGGCATAGAGCAGGGCAGAGGAGGGCAGTGAGGAACTTGAATTAGGCAATTGGACAATAACCAGTTCCATAGGTTTGACATATATTGTTTACCCATGGTAGTTTAATAATTATAATATCCAGATGCCGTTCTTCTTTAACCAGTCACATTAAACAGATTTTGTGCTTATGAATCTAAAACTGATCTTGTAATATTTTATTTTTGTAAGGTCTCATTTTTCAGGTTATGGTTTTTAGGTAGTTTAGTTTAACTGGAAATGTGGATGGGATGAACAATATAGTGTCAAAGACAGCTGCCTTTATTCTTCAGTGTGCTGATGTTTCATTCACCTGACAATTAGTCACAAAGTTTGGATGATTTTATTTTATTTATTTATTTATTTTTTAGACATGAGCCCTAATGTCAGTGATTTTATTTCTTATTTTTATATTTTGAGAAGATCGATACTATTTGGAAGTACTAATGCTACTCACTAAGGAAGGAAATCAGTGTGACAGCTGGAAATACCTTCCATAAGACCCAGATATTTTATCTAGCCATTTTGGCTTCTGTGAGTTCACTTATGTGTGTTGATGTTCTTTCTTCTAGGTGAGTGTTGCCTCTGATCCTGGCCGGCGAGTTCAGCACAATATGCTGAGTCCATTTCATAGTCCTTTCCAGAGTCCATTTCGGAGTCCTATGCGTAGTCCATTTCGTAGCCCTTTCAAGAATTTTGGACACCCAGGAGGAAGGACTATTGACTTTGATTGTGAAGATGATGAAATGAATCTAAATTGTTTCATCCTCATGTTTGATCTTCTCCTGAAGCAGGTAGCTGAAGCATGAGCTTTCTTTAGTTCTGAGGTGAAGAATAAGGGAAAGTGTTGTATAGTGATTCTTGCTATGTGTTGGACATCTTCATACTCATGAAATGATGCAACATCACTCAAGACATTTTGCAAACTCCTTTCAGGATTCCCTAAAGGGTCTGAAAAATACTGTATGAATATCTGCAATGATGTTGACATATGAGAATGGATGTGAATTTTAGAAACACTCTAGCATCATTAGAATTGATTCTGTTGAACAGATTTGGTGAGCTAACTGAGTAATGCTATTGTTGGGAAGAGCAAGGTACAGCTCTATAGTGATGGGCTGATTTAAATATATTCCATGAATTGATTTTTTTAAGGTAATTTCAGAAGAGAAGTATAAAAGTCTTTGATCAGGAGAACATTTCTTAACTTTTTATTCTGAAATAATTTCAGACTTGTAGATAAGTTGCAAGATATGTACAAAGAATTCCCAAATACTCCTCCCCTAGATTGTCCAGATAATAACACTTATCATATTTCTTTCTCTCTCTCTCAATCTGTATATGTATGTATGAATTATAGAATTTTAAAAATAAACATGTGAGGGTAAGTTGCAAATATGATGCCCCTTTGTCCTTAAACACTTCAGAATGTATTTCCTGAAAAATAGGACATTCTCTTATATGACCAAGTACAAAATTAGGAAATCAGTCAAAATCAGGAAATTAATATTGTTGTAATACTATTGCCTATTGTCTGACCCACAGAAATTAATCACTTTTTAAATTGACATAATAATTATATTTTTATAGTATAGTATAGTATATATATATAGTATACATCTATATAGTATAGGATTGTATAGTATAGTATAGTATAGTATAGTATAGTATAGTATAGTATAGATCTAGGACACAATCTAGCATCACTCGTTGCAAATATTTGTCCTGTCTCATTAGTCTTCTTTAATCCAGAGCAGTTCTTCAGGCTTTGTTCATCTTTCATGTTCTTGACGTTTTTGAAGAGTGCAGTCCAATTATTTTGTAGAATGTCTCTCAATTTGAGTTTGTCGTATGTTACGGATCTATTTGGGTTAAGCATTTTTTGTCAGTAATGCCCCTGATGTGATCTTATATCCTTTTCAGTGCATCATATCGGGAGGCACATGACATGATAATGTTGCCTTACTGGTGATGATAACTTGGTTAAGGTGATTTCTACTAGATTTCTCTACTCTAAAATCACTATTTCCCCCTTTGTAATTAATAAGTAACTGGCAGGCTGAGATTTCCTGTTCTCGTTAGACTTTTACCTACTAGTTTTAGCATCCACGGCTGATTCATGCCTGGATCAATTATTGTGATGATGGTTATCAAATGATAATTTCCTAATTCCATTATCTTTTAATTTATTAGCTGGTATTCTACTGAAGGAACAGTTTCCCTTCTCTCCCGTCTCTGTATTTATTTGTTTATCTTCTTATACCTGCATGTACTGATGAATTCCTGTTTTATTCAGTGAGTTAAAATCTATTACTATGATTATTTTTATTCTCATGCTCATATTGTCCCATATTTGACCAGTGGGAGTCCCGTCAGGCTGGCTTCTGTGTTCTTTTGATATAATCCTTGTCATTCTTTGAACACTTCCTTAATTTCTGGCATGACAAGATGTTCCAGGATCATTTTATATTTTCGTAGCCCCAACCTTGAAATCAGCCATTTCTCCAAGGAGCCCTGGTTCCTCTTAGAGGATAATGGATAATGGTATTTAGAAACCAAGATCTGGACACTGGGTGAGGAGTAGCATTTTTTTTTTTTTTTTTTTTTTTAGATTTTATTTATTTATTCGACAGAGAGAGAGACAGCACAAGCAGGCAGAGTGGCAGGCAGAGGGAGAGGGAGAAGCAGGCTCTCCGCCGAGCAGGGAGCCGGATGTGGGGCTCGATCCCAGGACCCTGGGATCATGACCTGAGCCGAAGGCAGCCGCTTAACCGACTGAGCCACCCAGGCGCCCCAGCATTTTTTAAATGTGTAAAATCTCACAAAGTGATAAGTTTATAACAAACAACACTCTTTTAAATGTCCTATGTGATTTTAAATATAATTCCCATTGTTTGTCTTGTGTTTATATCCTTTTAAAAAAACCTGTGGAAAATAATATATATTCATGGTCTATAATCCTTATTATCTTTAAATAACTTAATATTGTTGTCAGATAGTAAAATTATCCCCAATTAGAATACCAATGGAATATTGGAAAAAGGACCAAATTCCTTCTTCTTTTCTTTTCTCTCTTTTTTTTTTTTTTGGCCTTCATTTTGATGTCTTTCAGATGGAGTTACAAGATGATGGGATCACGATGGGTTTAGAGCACAGCTTATCAAAGGACATTATTTCCATTATAAACAATGTCTTCCAAGCCCCCTGGGGGGGCTCCCACACCTGCCAGAAGGACGAAAAAGCAATTGAGTGTAACTTATGCCAATCTAGTATTCTCTGCTATCAGCTTGCTTGTGAACTCCTGGAGAGACTGGCTCCTAAAGAAGAAAGCCGGCTGGTGGTAAGAAGTCAAAGAAATGAGATGACCCATATCTGATAGTGATAATGACTGTAGTACCTGGTATAATGGGGTCTTCCTCCAATATCACTGTATGCTCCATGCTGGGTTATATGTGAGACTGTTAGAAAGTTTTCCTGTTCCTTCTACCAGCTAATGCTCCTAGAAAGGGATATGAGCTGGAGCTACATTATACAGAGTTCTTGAGTCTTGAGTTAGGGTTGTGGCACATCCATTCATATAATTTTCATATATTATATAAATATAAAGCATTGATGGTATTCTTTCTTTTAAATGCCTTTTTATTTTTTTAAATTAACATATAATGTATTATTTGTTTCATGGGTACAGGTCTGTGATTCATCAGTCTTATGCAATTCACAGCGCTCACCATAGTACATACCCTTCCCAATGTCCATCACCCAGCCACCCCATCCCTCCCATCCCCCTCCACTCCAGCAACACTCAGTTTGTTTCCTGAGATTAAGAGTCTTTTATGGTTTGTCTCCCTGTCTGGTTTCGTCTTGTTTCATTTTTCTTTCCCTTTGCCTATGATCCTCTGTCTTATTTCTCAAATTCCTCATATCAGTGAGATCATATGATATTTGTCTTTCTCTGATTGACTTATTTCACCTAGCATAATACCCTCTATTCCATCCACGTCGTTGCAAATGGCAAGATTTCATTTTTTTGATGGCTCCATTGGATATGTATACCACATCTTCTTTATCCATTCATCTGTTGATGGACATCTAGGCTCTTTCCATAGTTTGACTATTGCGGACATTGTTGTTATAAACATTGGGGTGCATGTGCCATTGATGGTATTCTTGAAATAACTTTTATTACAAAGTTCAGATAGCAGTGAATACTATAAAATATACATATCAAATATCAAGTAAGTAGATTGGATACAGACATCAAGAATTCCTAGGTAACTCCAGTTTGTAAAACCCATTGATTTCATCAACAACAAGTAAAGCCTTCATTTTATTTTCTGCTTTCCAAGAAAATGGTTTCAGTAGGAATCAACTACTATATACCACATGTTAGCTGCTCTATACATTAGTCATTCCCTTTTTAGCCAGTTTTCATTTAACACACATAACACATATCACCAAAAGCCCTCATGCCATCAAAGGGAGGTGAATCTGAATTATTTGGGCCAGTGTTTGCTATCTTCTCTATTTCTTCCTTTCCTCTAATGTTTATCTAAGTAGAAAGTGACTTTTTTTTTCAAGATTTTATTTATTTGAGAGAGGGAGTACGAGTAGGGGGAGAAGGGCAGAGGGAGAGGGAGAAACAGAATCCTGTTGAGTGCAGAGCCCGACGCAGGGCTCAATCCCAGGACCTGGAGATCATGACCTGAGCCAAAGTTAGCTGCTTACCCGACTGAACCACCCAGGCACCCCATAAGTAGAAAGTGACTTCTTAAAAAAATTTTTTTTGAGGTATAACATACATGCAGTAAAGTGTTTCTTCAGTTTTTAAATACCTTTCTGCCTACTAAACTCGCTTTCCTATATATTGCAAGGTAACCTCCCTGGACTGTGGTCTTTCAGCATTGGGTAACTTCACTACAAAACAGTCATAGTCCTAGATGATGTAAAAACAAATTAAAATCAAGATGCTTAGAGTCTAATCAGGGAGATGTTTAAGTAAATGAAAAACTGTTAACGTGATGAGTGTGATGGGAGAGATCTGGGCAAGGGAGCAATGAGGGCGGAAGAGGGACTGCAGATCCAGCTTGGAGGTGTGATGGGAAGGAGAGAGCTCCTGGGCTCGTATTTGAAGGAATGGAGTTAATGAAATGAAGGCAGAGGGGAGAATAACTTTGGAGACCCAGAAAACTCTCTGTGTAAGTGATCCAGGGGAAAGCAGGGAATGATACGCTCAGGAAACTGGAAGCAGTTGAATGTTGCTAGCGCAGTGAGCAGGATGCGAAGACAGTGAAACCTGGGTCAAGCAAGACAGACTCCATCTTATTTTCCCATTCATTAAGGGCTCTGTCTGCCAGACTCAGAAGTTTGGGTTTTGTCTCAGTGAATGGGGGATCCTGAAGAATTTAATCAGGGTGGTGATGCAATTTGATGAGTTGGAGAAAAGAGGATTTGGAGGATTTGGACCCTGGGGACAGGCATCTAGTCAAGAAGGCTAATTGGTCACTCAGGGAGGAAATGGGGAAGTCTGAATTAAAGCAATGGTGGTGGGGATCAGAGAAGGGGCAGGCCTGGCGGATTTTTAGGCAAGACAGTCAGCTGCGGTTGGTGTTTAGCTGGCGTTGAGGTATGGAAAAGTGGAGGGTAAACCCATGTTTCCTGGCTTGGGAGCTGATAACATTGCCATTTATAGAAGAGCATTACAGTAGTAGAAGTGATTTTTTTGGTAGGAGTGGGTATGATGCAGGCACAGTCAGACATAGCGGGTTGAGATGCCTTTTAGATATCCAGGTGGGGGTTGTCATGCCCCATCAGCTATGTGGATCTGGTCTTTTGGAGGAAGGTCAGAAGTAGATAAAAGTTTGGAACTGCCAGCATATTGTGCTGGGATGTGTGGAATAAGAAGAGAAATGCTAGCTAGCCATGGCTAGTATTCTGGGAAGGACCAGCTCTTAAGAAGGAAAACAGGGAAACTGAAGACTTAGAAATGAATTGAGAAGAGGCCAGAGACACAGGGGAAATACCGAGGGAGAGCAAGAACTCCAAAACCAAGGGAGGAGGCAGTTTAGAAAAGGAAGGAATAGCTGATCATGTCAGGAGAAGAGAGGAAAAATATAAGACCGAAATGTGCCCAGGGGATCCTGAGATGGAGCGTCCTCTGTGCCCTTGGGGATGAGAGTAACCATGGATTCCAGTAGTGTGTGGCTTAAGAACAGAATCAGCTGAGGATGTGGCTGCGCCAAGTACAGACTTCTATTTCAGGGAGGGCGTGAGAGGGTGAAGAGGATGGAGGCAGATGCGTTGATCCCTGCCCTGTCCCCAGCAGGCTTTCTGTATTGTGTCCATTTTCCGAGCACCATCCCGGGAAACAGGGGGAAGCATATGTATAGAGAAACTGAGCCATCAAAACAATCTCCCATGTGCATGATGCTTTGGACACTTGTCATGGGCTAAAAATAACACATTTGGAAGTGAAGCTGAAGGATTCTGTTTTCCTCTCCCAAAGGTTTATGGGAGAGATGCTTATCAATAAAAGAGGGCTATGCCATAGAACACTCCAAAATTCCGGGTGGTCTCCACTGTGTGGGTCAGCCCCCTTCACTCTTCAGTTCTCTTCCTGGGACAGGCTGGGGACAGGATGGGCGACACCAGTCCCTGCTACCTGGGAGGATGATTCTAGCCCTGTGGGTTATCGAAGAGTCAGTACACAGCAGGGAACTCTTTATCATAGCAAATTTCATGAAACTCACTTTAGAATTTGATTTAGTGCCTTGCTCATGAGTGACCTAGGGACAGAGTCAGGCTTCGCAAAACTGTGAAGTTGGCAGAGATATCCTTCAGGGCCCTCGCATCCTCCATGCTAAGCACTGGTTTTCTTGTGGGTGTCCCTCTGGCACTCCATCAGTCTTGAGCTGGCTGTCAAATAATTCTTGAAAAAAACGTGTACTGGCTAAAGTGTTAGCTAAAAGAGTATGGGTTTTAGAAGAGGATATTTGAAGTGGTACTCGAAGGAAAGAAAAAGGCTGGAATTGGAGCTTAACTGGAGATGGATATTTTAAATGGCAGCCATAACCAGTGCTTCCCAATTTCACCTATTTCTGAGGCTGGTTTTATACATATGTATTATATCTGACATGTATTGTCTATAAATGTATCATGTTTAGTATAGTCATGTGGTGCAGCCCATCTCCAGAACTTTGTCATCTTGCAAAACTGAAATTCTATACCCACTAAACAAGAACCTCCTGGTTCCCCCCTCTCCTGAGCTGCTGGACAGCTCCATTCTACTTTCTGCATCTTTGAATTTGACTACGGTAGTGACCTCATGTATCTGGAATCATGCAATAATTGTCCTTTTTATGACTGGCTTGTTTCACTTAGCACCGTGTTCTAAAGGTTCACTCACATAGCAGGTGTCAGACTTCCTTCCTTTGTAAGGCTGACTAATGTTTTACTGCATGTATATAACACATTTTGTCTCTCTGTTCATGTGTCGATGGACACTTGGCTTGCCATACCTAGCTCTCTTTAACGCATATGTTATAGCGATTTCTTGCTCCTAAAAATTTGACGTCTCCAGGACTACCAGTGTGTGTATCCTAAGATATTGCTGTGAACCCCGTATTATTCCCTGCCAGTTAAGTACTCTTACTGAACAAAATGTGCACGGATTGGAATCACTTGGTGAGTGGGACATGATCACAGGGAAAGTGGGCCTAGGACGATTTAATGTTTTTGAGATTTTTCCATATTTATTTCAAGGGAATGAAATTGTTTTAGTAACAGCTGATCCAAAGTCCCTTTAATTATTATGGAAGTGAGCTCACATTTCTTCTGAGGCAGGTGTCTTTGTCCTTCGGGGCTCAGCACAGGGCTGGGACACAGCAGGCACTCAGTGGATCTTTGTGGAACTGAGCAAAACCATTCTTTACATCCCCAGCGGGCTGCTCACCTGGCTGCTTGTTCTCTTTGTTTCAGGAGCCCACAGACAGCCTTGAGGATAGCCTCCTTTCTTCCAGACCAGAGTTTATTATAGGCCCTGAAGGTGAGGAGGAGGAGAATCCAGCAACCAAGCATGGGGAGAACCCAGGCGATTGCACCAAGCCCACGGAACATGCTGGTAGGTGAACTCTGGCATACCCCAGTTAGCACAGTTCTGATGTTCAGAACCCTGTTTTTTTTAGATTACTGTCGACTTAGGCGAGTTTAGGCTTGGCTTCTCTAGTGGAGACTGGTGCAAATGAACCATTTCCTCTCAGATCATGAAGTGAACAGATCCAGGATGTGTTTCTAGTAGAGCAAAGGTCACTGAGCTGCTTTCTAGGCAGCAGGTGCTTCTTATCAACAGAACCCACCATGTGAGCAGTACCTTCCTACTTACGGTGTAGCAGGTTCTCGTGGAGAAGCAGCTATGAACCAAGGCTGGACGACTGAGTGGAGGGTGCTTTCACTCTCGACAGCCACTGAGGGCATTTGGCCACGGCAGAGTGTTTTGGGATAGAGCTAATGGAACTTGAGCTCATGCAGCTTCTGTGGCCCAGGGGCTTGATCAGGACTCTGGACAGGCTCACGGTGTATAGCTGCACAGTTTGTGCTCCGAGGCTGGTTGGCTTCGCACAGAGCTAGAGGAAGGATGGCCTCTTTCTAGTTTGCTTGCAGGCTATGTGCGGGCTAATTGGGGACTGCAGAATGGCAGGCAGGCTTGAAATCATACTCTAGCTCTTCACAGTCTGAAGGAGTTTGGGGAATTTGACATGTGACCCCATGTGCCTTTGGGAAAGCTTGATTTCCAGATCTGCACTGTGGCACTTTGGGAATTTGTATAGGACTAATGTACAAATTAGTAAATATGACTCATTTTTCATCTTCCTGCTTCCACTACCCTGAACCAGGAGGCCCACCCCCAGAACCAAAGTTTGGCTTTCTGTCATTCCTTCAGGGAACAGCAAACATTGTTAAGTGACTTTTGTGTGAGGTCCATTATAGCCCTGGGGGTGTCTCATTCAGACCAAGGACTGAATAAGACATTAGTCTCATTAGTATGGAATGCTTGGTCGGAACTAACTGCTTCTGCATGAATTGTACACATGATCCGCTGAGTATGAATATCTCGGATCACTCTGTTTAGAACCACGAAAACGTAGAAATTGAAAGAACACCTGAGATGACCTACTTCATTGGTTCTCAGCATGTCCTTGGAGTTGTACACACTCTATGTTGTTTCCTTTGGACCTTCCTTGTTTGGAGTGGCAAATGGTGGGGAGACAGGGGCAAGTCCTAATGAGCAGCCCAGGCTACCCACCCTGCTTTACCCCGAGTGTGCTGACCTGCTCTGTTTCATACATTGGTGTTCTAAGTGAGTTTCTTTAAACAAAATCGTCCATAGGAAAAAACTTGGAAACCTGCTGATCTAATTCAGCCTTCTCACTTTGCAGATGAGGAAAATACATCCCAGGTGGGTGAGACGTGCCCGTGGTCATACAGCTTGTAGTCCTCATTCCTAATTTATGCTTTAGGCTTACGTGCGGCCCTGGTGGAGCATCAGGATCGTCTGAGGAGTTGAAACACAGAATGAATGAGCACCACCCACCACCCCCAATTCTGGGTGCATCTGGGGCAGAGATCTGGGAATTAGAAATCCAGATATCAAACAACCAGTTAGTGGCAGGATTGAGACTAGAACCCGGGTGTCCTGGGATCCAGGCCTAGGGCTTCTTTCTGTCAGGCATTAATGCCTAGAGGAAGCAAGGATGTCACTTAGGATCCAATAACCTGTACTCTTTATATACAAATATATCTTTTAAACCTAACATGCCCACAGATCACTTAACTGCCACTTTTATTTATTTATTTAATTCTTTTTTTTATTATGTTATGTTAATCACCATACATTACATCATTAGTTTTTGATGTAGTGCTCTATGATTCACTGTTTGCATATAACACGCAGTGCTCCACGCAGTACGTGCCCTCCTTAATACCCATCACCGGGCTAACCCATCCCCCCACCCCCTCCCCTCTAGAACCCTCAGTTTGTTTCTCAGAGTCCATCGTCTCTCATGGTTCGTCTCCCCCTCCGATTTCCCCCCTTTCATTTTTCCCTTCCTGCTATCTTCTTCTTCTTTTATTTATTCATAACATTTTATATGAACAATGGTTAAAATTAAGCAATTTCTTTTTATGAATGACTCTTTTTCTTGCTTAAACATTTGCTCTGTTCGTCTCCCTCAAACACTTCTTCGGGCTCCTGTCACAGCCTCTGGTCTCCTTTCCTGCTTTTATTCCCCACTGTCTTGCAGGTCACAGTTATAAATTGTCTCCTCAGGGAAGCCTCCCTTAATTTTCCTCCAAGACCAGCCTTCCCTGCTGCTCTGAGCCCAGTCCAGCTTCTGTTCTGTGGGACTTCAGGCCGTGGTCTTGAACTCCTCTGTCAGAGCAAACATGTTCAATCGACACGTGTTCTGTGATTCCTCCTTCCTTTCAGACTATTTCCTGTTTCTGCATTTTGTGGCCTGGTACCTATTTCTTGATAGCTGTCAGATATATCCTCCACTAAAAATACTTTTAAAACTCTCACACTAGAAAAAATAGATTCGAGGGCTGTAACAAGTGTTTAAAATACATGAAAGTGGAAGATCACCAATGAACTGTTTAGTATATACACCAAGAGAGTTTGACTCCCATTGTCTCTGGCTCCAGGGATTGCCAAAACTTAGAATGGTGATTTGAAAACGTTTTACACTAGTGTCTACATCTGGCTAACTTGTGAATTCTTTTCTCTAATGTGCCTCAGGTACCATATACTGCCATCCCACTTGTAGAGGCAAAGGTATTAGAGAGACTCACAAGAAGATTAAAACCAAGTACTTGTTCTGATTTGAATATGCCTAACTTCTTTCAGATACTCCCTTTGGCATGAGTCCATGGGGTAAATTTCTCCTTAGGTGCTAATATAACTTGAATATCTCTCCTTAAAACCTTCTTCTCTCCCTTTCAGTAAGGAAGGCGTACCTAGCTGGGCACCAGGCCAGGTGGCAGCAGAACTCACTGCCCTTGGGAGCATAGGGTTTGCTTCAGGGAGCCAAGGACATCTGAATATATATGGTGGGCTACATGAAATTTGAGAGCCCTGAATCTAGAAGGTTTCCTGCATGGGTATCATAGAAGGGATATATGCCACCTTGGAGAGCAAATAAAAACATTACACAAAATGCCTTTTATTTTATTTTCTAATTTTTTTATTGTTATGTTAATCACCATACATTACATCATTAGTTTTTAATATAGTGTTCCATGATTCATTGTTTGTGCATAATACCCAGTGCTCCACGCAGAATGTGCCCTCTTTAATACCCATCACCAGGCTAACCCATCCCCCCA